TCGCCACCCCCTGAGGAGTGCCGCTCATCACTGGTCTCTACCTGGAAATCGGGTCGTTGACTGCAACTCTTGAAGTGTGACCATCCAGCTAATTCCTTACCACTGAGTGGTCCACCCGTCAGATCAATGTCTCTCTAATTTAGAGACAAGGACGTCATGTGGGACAGTGTCAAATGCTATGCACGAGTCCAGGTAGGTGATGTCAGTTGCTCTTCCCTTATCGACCAAAGCTGTAACCACATTATAGAAGGCCACCAAATTTGTCAGGCATCATTTGCCCTTGGTGAAGCTACACTGGCTGTGCATCAGTAACCTCATTATTTTCCATGTGCCTTAGCATAGTTTCCAGGAGGATCTGCTCCATGGTCTTGTTGGGCACAGAGGTTAAGACTGACTGGCCTGTATTTCCTGGATCCTCTTTATTTTTCTCTTTTTAGAAATGGAGGTTATGTTTCCCCTTTTCCAGTCAGTGGGAACCTCACCAGACTGCCACAACTTCTCAGATACGATGGACAGTGGCTTGGCAACTTCTTCCACCAGTTTCCTCAGGTTCCATGGATGCATCTCATCAGGACTTTTGCACCTTCAGGTTCCTTAGTCTCAAACCTGGTCTTCTAAAGCGGGCAGTTCTTCATTCTCCCAGTTCCTGGCTTTGCCCTCTACAACTTGGGCAATGTGGCTTAAGCTCATGCCAGAGAAGGCTGAGGCAACATGTACATGAAAGTGTGCAGGGGGTTTAAAACTGCTGAGATTAGCTGCAGAAGGGTGCTTAGAAATTTGCAGGTGCCTATTAATATTTTATGTATGTCTAGTGTTGTTACCTGCTGTGTTGCCACTCTTGATCTTGAATGTGTAGTTTGTTGATTGCTGGATAACTGTTATTAAAAAATCAATAAACCACTTTGATCTTGATTTGCTATAAACACATAGCTGAACAGTTTTTCCATGTGATAATCATGTGGGAATAAATCATGAAGAGGGAATAAATGTTCTTTTTTCCAATACAGGAATACAGAGACATCAAACAAAGGTACCAAAAGACAGATTTGAGACAAAAAAAACTAGTTACTTCTTCAAACAACATGTAAAGGAATATAAGAAATGTTTGCCAACATATGTACTGGATGCTGAATGGGTTAAACTGACTGAAATAAATTAATGGAAGAAAAAAGGCTATATGACAGAT